CAGCAATCTTGTTTGAGATCTTTTGTTTTACAGGCTTAATCAAAAAATTGCGTCTAGTCGGTTACAATTTCCACGCACCGGCGGTCATAAAAGATTGTGTTCGGCACGGGCTAGTCCCTCTGAAAAAAAAGCAAGGTGTGATCGTGTATAACAAAAAATTAAAGAATCGATAATTAGTCTCCACGATCGTTGGGATCTAGAAATGTTTCCCCTACCCCACCGACCATACCAACGACCTGGCAACGTTGTTACGACTAACTTCGCGACTCGCCGTCCACTGCAGCGTATCTAGAAACGCTTGTGTTGAAAATATTTCTCTAGCAAGTTTTCAGGGCACATGTACAGACAAATCTAAGATTCACCGATATTGGATATAATAACACGAAAAAAATCTCTAAAACTCCAATTATTAGCACCTAAAAACATTTTTCTGTAAATGATCGCGGTCCTTTGAAACGTCAAAGAACCAAATTTGTGCGACTTTTATTTTTTTTTTTCGTTTTTCGATCTCGGCCGATTTTCAAACACTACCTTTTTTGTCCTTTGCATACCATCAACCTTGTACCAAAATTTCATCAAAACCCTAGTGGTTATACCCAAATAGACAGACCGATGAAAATGAGTAACATTTAAACAACAAATGTCAGTATCGAAATTTTTATTTTGTCGACTTTTTGTTTATATCCTTGAGTTTCTCAGGCTGGCATTCAACGTGTTAAATATGAGAAGTCTCGTTGCCTTGTCTTTAAAGATAAGTTGCGCCAATGTAGCTGCTGTACATATGTATCTCGTATGTGAATTTCTAGCATACCAGATGAAGATACACTTTGACTCCCCATGTGTATTGCTATGCGCTTCATCTTATGAATTACAAATTTTGAACACAATACCGCTTATATGCAGGTATACTCCCGGCTTTTTGCATATATTTAACCAAGCTGGTACAGAGAAAATGAAGAAAAAGAAGATTTCTACTTCATAAAAGTTCCAAATCACAGTTATTGAAGTGCCCATAGTTCCAGTGTGTCATGTTACCCCTCCAAATATAACTAAGTCGACGTCTTAAGAATTTGATAATGGTTCTCAATTCCAGGTTTTTAAAGTGTATACAAGAGTTTATCCACAACACACAGCTTTGCGTTGTCGAAACGAGGTTTAATTATGTTAGAAAAAACGCAGTATGTTTTTTAAATGTTTCACCGATATTGCAACTTTCAACATTTGCAAACAATTTTCTACACAATTCAAAATTGCGTTACAATCGTATCAGATTGATAGTAAATTAAATCGTGCGGTTTTGATGCCTTTTTGCATTTACAACAAGAACAGAATCCCGCAATCTAACTTACTATGAACGAAAGCCACATTATCAAGAGCTTTTGTTTTTTTTTCTATACTCAAGCTCCGTAATTAAAAGCCTGCTATTTTTGATAAGAATATAATTGCTATGGACTTGTAATTGAGATTGTAAAATGTCTATCATTGCATTAGTGTAATTGTTGCTTGTGCGTTTTCTTTTTTCTCTTCTCTCTATCCGTCATTGTCAGACTGTAGGATATCTGTAGGTCAGTAGGCCTGATTGTAAGAAAAAATGGAGAGAGAGCACAGAGAATTTGAGGCTTGTTGTAGAATTTTTTTGAACCGCAGATCAAACGCCTTAATTTGAGTCATAGTGTTACACTCTTAACATTTTTTGGGAGGCTAATTTCGTTATGAATATCCTTTATTTAGACATTTTTATATACTAGGTTACTGGATGTTTCCCTCAACCTAAACGTAAATAACATTTAGCAACATCCTCACATACTACTGTAAGTTAATTTAAAATTCATTTTACACAATTCTTGCTATTTTTCTCAATGTTATTGCAGCTCCTGATGATGATGGCAAAGACCATTGAAAGCTAGAGCGATTAATAAAGTATAAAGAGTCCTCATTACTTAAATTTTGTCGAAGTACTCAACAAAAAGGCGGACACTATAATTTTTCACCTAACTGGTCTAGACGACAATGACCACGTCTCAAGTTATATATATATCGCTTAAGTTAAGGCATTTGAACCTAGTATTACAGTTACAAATTTCTTAGTTTCTTAACCGCAAAACGATGAGAGGAATGCTTGATTGATTATAACTCATATTACAAATGAGACATTGTTTTTTCAATCGGAATATTTTGTTCGCAACTGCTGAAGGAGATACGTTTGGAGAAGACTTCAGAATTACAATATCTAAGCATCTCATTTTTTTATCTAAAAAAGTAATATTATTTATGAACACAGCTTTCAAAAACGGTAGTTCTTTTTATGACCAATTGAGCCTTTGAATGTTCATTTCTCAAAGAATCAATTTTACAGTAAGTAAACTTTTTTTTGACTTTAGAATCGAAAAGAATCGAAAACTTTGATAAAGCAACAGATTGCTTTACAAGAAAAAAGTAATAAACAGTAGACAAGGTTTTCAGTAGCAACTTACATCTAAACGCAGACGCTTTTTTGTTAAAAATGAGTTTTATTATTATCATGCAAAATAACCCGCGCTTTCTCGTTATTTGTACACGATTTTAAACCTTTTTCTTCAAGTTACTGGACATAAAAAATAATCGGATGACTCACCTAGACCTCCTCACCAAAAAACCCTCAATCCTCCTGGAGTTGAAGGGGAAGATTCACGTTCAACACAGAGTTTCCAACTTTAAATCTATTCACGCACACACCAATTATCGTTCTTACCCCGTCATAGTCACACTGATCACTGTTCCAAATCAATCAACAAAACTCGCGGAGACCTGAACGGTTGGTGAGGCGCCAAACCTCCGAGATGTCGACGATGCGTCTAGCGACAAACCTCCGGCCGGGTGGTAAGTAGTACCAGATAGTCCGGGTTGATTTTCCGGGCGTCGAGTCGTACTGTGGGGTACTGAAAGCTCTGCGTCGACCACTCGACAAGGACTGTCCCGGACCAGTGAGTGTCTGTCTCGCTGTTATGCTTCAAGAGCTGCGTGCACCTGTTGGAAAGAGTAGGGGCAGAGCGAGCCGACATCGGTGGTACCCCTCCACGCGTGAGGTAGTACCGCCGCCGCGAAGACGGTGGCAGTTGGACATTTGTTGGATGATACCATACCGCGGGGTTGAATTTTACAAAAATGAAACCAGACTAAGCTATAGATCACGCTTTAGGTAGTACCTTTACGAGATGCAAATAAGTTGTAGCAGAGCATACCGGAACTATGCCAGATATTTCTTTCAAAGATCTTCATTGAGTAAAGTTTTATACCACTATGATAGCCAGCAATTACACTACGATTGATATCTGCGGTACCACTTAGCAAGTGAAGTAGTGCTATTGCATTGTACTGTACTTCTGCGCCTTGATAGCAGATGATGGAGTTTAGGAGCACGTGACGGATAGTACCTTTTGAGACACAAGATAGCATTCACAAACCGTATCAAGATTCTTCCAGAATAGCCGCGGAAGCAGGGAGTAAAAGATTATGAAAATGACACCATTGGTAGTACTTTTTATAGATAGAAATAAGTTTTGGCTGCGCCTGGAGAACAGATGACAGAAACTGGAAGATGGTGAATTAGACGAGTAGTACCGTTTGAGACGGAAAAAGCTTTTACAAGCTGTGTCAAGAGTATACAACCCAACTGTATGGTCATTGGTGATAACCCTCCAAACGTCAGGTAGTACCTCCAGCAAGATACTTATAGGTAGTACTGTCGAGGAATTCAAGTGTAATTTCAAATTGTTCAAAGGCGAAACTAGTACCTGGTGTCCATATAAAGCAGACTATGCTTGTACTGATCTGTGGTACGGATCACAAGTGTGGTAGTACCGCTGATTCGAAGATAGTAGCACTTAAGACACTTGTTGGATGATTCTACATATATATGACGGGGTGGAACGTTATAAAAATGAGACCATGATAAGTTATCGATGCCACTTTAGGTAGTACTTTTTTCAGAGAGTATCATATACCGAGACAATACAAGAAAATTGTTCCATAGATCTCCTTGCCTAGAGTTTGACACTGCCCGAGAGCTCGCCGTTACATTATTAATATCTTCGGTACTACTAAATATGTGAAGTAGTGCTGCGGCAAGTTGATGCGTCGATGGCAGCTTGAATGTTGTTCTGTACTACCGCGTTATGAAGCAGAGGATGTAAATTGAAATTACGTGAATTAGATGGGTAGTACCCATATCAAGATTATACCACAGAACTATATGACATCGGTGATAGAGCCGTATATGTCAGGTAGTACCTACAGTCAGATACTTCCTATATACGTATATGATCATGATATATCAGTTTTTTGTGGCATCTATGGCACCCTCATGCGTGGTAGTTCCGTCGCCGTGAAAACGATGGCAGACGCTTGTTCAGTGGTACCACAAAGACATGGGATAAAAGGTTATGAAAATTAAACCAAAATAAGCTATAGGTAGTACCTTTCCGAGATAGAAATAAGCTTTTGCAGGTCATACCAGGATGCATTAAAATCATTTTATTGATCTGTCTTGCTTAAAGTTTGAGACTATTCTGAACCTTGCCAATTACATTAAAACTAGTTTGGTATTGTTTGTAGGTACCACTAAACAGGTGAACACGATACTGACGGTTGGATTTGGTTCTGGACGTCGCGAAACCAGAAGAAGGAAGACACTTGGTCCATAGTCCTACAGCGTGGATGGGGAATAAAGTTATGACGAGGCGTTGGTGGTACCCTTTGAGTGGGATGGGAGCTGTTACAAAATGTATCCACCCAATGTAACAGATCTGTCTCAGCAGCCGTTTCTGTAAACGATCCAAATGTTTTTCTATACGACATCAGTACCCACCTCGAGTGAGGTAGTACTACCGGCGTATTAATACCTTAGAACCAGAGAGTTAGATAGCACCGTTGCCATCCACAACGATGATTTGTCATAGTTCTGGTTTTAGAAGCTTTAACAGGATGAGGAAGTAGCATCTCCGTCTGCAAGACTCTACGACATGGTGGTAGGTAAACAGTTATCCGGTGGTACTACAAAATTAGGGGTGGAATTTCTGTTCATCTGGGCGAGACTAAAAGTACCTATTACCTTGGTAGAACAACAGCTTTCGCTTGGAGACGTAATTGTTTCGTCACAGCTATGCGATGCTGGTGGTACCACTCTACGAGTGAAGTAGTACCTTCGCCAGCCGACGATTCGCTTTTGGATGCAATATACAGGCTATTCGATAAAACTGTTCCACCAGTCTTTCTTTTCTAGAGTATAATGAAATAAGACTATTGTTTAGTGGTACCGAATCGTGACCGTTGGAGTTTGAAATTGAAGTTTTGTAGATAAGGTTAATAGTAGCTTCAATTTGAGTAGAAAAACACTATCGGAAATGTATTATAATAAGCTCTGAAGACTTAGTGGTACCATCTCATTGGTAAAGTAGTACCGCGACTAAGCGATGATAACCTTTTTAAGAGAAGCAAAGTATTTGCATTTCCTGGAACAAATTATGGAAAACCAATACAATTGTTCAGCTATGTAAAATTAGTGGTACTAATCCACAAGTAAGAAAACACCGCCACTATGCGATGTTGTACCTTACTAGAGGAATGGCAAGTTTCGATCATGGCAAAGAAATAGAGTTCATCTATTTGTCCAAGGTGGGAATTTTTTTGGAAGTTCGCCTTTCCATTAAGTAGGGTAGTACCACCGTCGCCGGCACAAACTTTCCGTAAGCGTTTCTATTTAATCTTTTTACTGAATTTTATCAGAATCAAACTGAAATAAAATAGAAAAATGAAGGAAAAGCATTAAATGTAACAGGTGCATAGCATTACCTGCAACCTGTAACGTATTCACCTGTTGGTACTAATACGTGAGGGGAGAGGACAGTATCTAGCATTTAACCACTTGTTGATGATGAGTCGATGTCGAGGGGCGATTACATAGTTTATGGTGACCCTACGCGCTTCCTCTTTTTGTTTCCGTAAGAGCTCAGTTTCTATCTACGGTTTGTTAACATTGGAAGACGCAAAATATTGTAGACAAATCAAAATCTTTAATGAATACTGAAAAGTTCGAACCGAAACTTAACCTGACCAACTAAACTAAAACTTAAGTCCACATCGCAACGTAGATAGTACCCATGCTTTTGCTTTGCTCTATGTGGGCATACCCAGTACGTTTAGCTACTTGAACATACTGTCCAGAGAAAAGAATGCCAGGTGATGTATTAGTTTGTGGACAAAGTAGCCACTAAAACTACACAATGTTGGCAGCACACAATGCATTGTGAACATGTAGGCGTGGCCCCTAATCTATCCGAATTCGTTGGTGGAAACGAAGTCTCCATAATGGCTGTAGTCTGACTGACAGGAGTAGATGCAAATACTTTGAAGCTCAAAAACCTTTCCCGCCAATACACTAGTTAAAAAAGTTGCGTTAAGTATGTAGGTTGACTCTACAGAGAGTCTATAGACTCCAGATCCCCATACAAATTTTTTTCTGAAATTGATGATTTTTACTTTTTCCGCGTTTTCCCCTAGCTCCGCCGCCACTGCACCGATCTTCAAAAGCTACAAAGAATTTTGTTCCTTAGAATGATAGTAACCTTGTGTCAAAATTTTATCGAAATCAGGACGATACTTCCCAAGTTATGGGACAGGTGGACAGACTGGGGATTGACACAGCTTACGGTGATTTTTCACGATGACAATATTTCCTCGCCAACTGGCGTAGGAAGTAATAATGTAACCTACTTTTTTGGTGATCCCCGTGAGCATATGTTTCAGTATCTTTACAGGCAACTGCCCAATTAGCAATCAACAGTCGTCAATATATTTTCGCTTAATCAATTAACATACCAAATTTTAAATTAATTTGTCGACACATCCACTCATTTTGCTACTGGTTTTGATGTCGATTTAAACTTGCTACATTTCAGCTATATCTGTGTAAGCATCTATAGGTATATGCTAGAATTATAAATGACGCACGTTAATGAGATTCAGATGTTTTTGACCAGATACCAGTTCATGAATATGCACGGCGTATAATTCTGTTGAACAGTTGCTGCAGAATAATTTGGATTGGTTTGTTGCTAGATGTGGGGGCCTATGGGCTTTTTAAAACTATACGATGGCTGGTAGGTTCATCACGAAATCCGAGTTTCAACCATTAAAGCCACAAGTAAAGAACTATTCTAATTGCATTAAATTGTAATTACTAAAAGTATCTAGATATGTGAACAATACCTCTGGATACGGTCCTGATCCGCATCATGTGAAATTTTTGACATTGACAATTGACATTTCCACCCTTCGCAGCGTTGCCGCTTATTGTTCATGAGATAATTCATTGATAATTACACAGATTTGAGAACTAACTGTGAGCAATAATGAGGCAATAAACAGTCATGCTATGGAAAAAAGACAAACAAAAGAATATTTCAGATGTCACTTATCATTAAAACCAAGTGGGCCAGGAAAGCCAAACCGAACGTTACTCTAAAATTATAACCTCCTCTGTTCGGGGATCTGCAAGTGATCTGGGATTCTGTTGCCTTTGGTTCTTGTATCTTGTTATTTAACGCATTCGTCATTTCATCTTCACAAGATTGATTCGTTGATATCCATACATCACCACTAAGGAGCATATAACCAAGAGAATTACTTTTCTGCCTTCAATAATATTTGGGCAAAAGACCCACGGCTTACCCCAGTGAGCAATAAGTCAGCTCAGCATCATCATGATGGTGGTTTCAGGTTGTGTCATACAGCCTTAACTTAGTGTGTGAGCTGCTTTAGATAGTTTGTCGAAGCGCCGCACGAGGTCTCTCGCTCTCTTAAAATCTAGACGTCACTGGTGCATGTAAGAATAAACTCAAATCATAATTAAAACAATGAGTCTTTATTAATATGCTGATAACAAGCATATATCGGTATCTTCACTAGCTATTGTGGGATATTAGAAGTTTCTTAATAATCATACTACATGCTTTAAGTAGATGGATAAGATTTCAAGTAGAGACATGCCCTTTGCGTAAGTAATGATAACAACTTTATTCCTTTATCTGTGAAAATGTTCCCCAATAGCGTACTGCATTACGTATTTAAAGTTTATTCAAACAAAAAATGATGAATATTTTTGCACACGATTTAGCAGGAAGATATTCCAGAGACATATTAACTACAATATTATTGGCTGAAATTATATATAGAATGAGAAATCTCGTTGATTTCTGATTTTAGATAATTTCTTAAACGAGTGTCACATCAGTTTCAACGCCATTGCGCTGTAGTTCCAAGGCAATTTAATGGCGCCACCTTCTAACACACAAATCTGGCAAACGTGGAGCTCCCGTGCTCCCATTAGGCAACGGCAACACTGTATCGGTTAAGAGACTTGACCTTGTACTCGCTTTTCGAATGGCACGAACGTCTCTAAACTATATAAATAACTACCCTTAACGTCATCCATGGACAATTACTGTCCGATTTTCATTTATGATATTAAAGCACCGAGTTATTTTTAGGATATTTGAAAAAATCTTTGGAATTTCAACCTTATGGCAATATTCGGCAACGTAGGAGCGAATATTCTGACATATGACGTCCATGACAATTCCACATTTGGATCGACGTCAAGACGTCAGCGTACAGAGGCAGATTGCATGTGTACGTGTAACGGATATGGATGTATGAAAGTTTTGGCTCCAGTTTCAGTGTGACCCGCGAAAATCGTGAAACACTAAACAAAACGGTCGATCGATTACAGGTCAGAAATAAACTGCCGTACCCTATGAGAGCCTCGTAGCGTAGAGAGTCGGCCTCGCCACCAGATGCTCATCGACAATAATAATAAAATCGAACCGTTTACTATCGACGAATTGTTTAACGAGCTAATAATTAGAAGTGAAATTGAAAATTTACGCTTTTGCGTAAACGGTTTTATCGTTCTTCCCGTTGCTCTGAACACCATTTGCTTTTCTCTTTAGTGCGTTACACCCACTGAAGGGTTAATGACGTTTTGTAACTGTTAGGCACGATTTTGCTGACACGAGATCAAAATTCTTGATTCGGATCATAATGGATCTTTCTAGTAATGTATCTAATGGTTATAGTCGATTCTGGCAGGTAATGATCGTGTCCTGACCTTGGCAGTGACCTTGAAGATTATGTATCATTGAGCTTTTCGGAAACGCAATATTTGAAGGTCATCGTCAGGAAACACATTTCCGGCCTCCTGGAGAACCCAGAAGTCCCCCCTAGTTGGCGCGTAGAAACGTACTGTTATTCAGATTTATTCCATGCTGGCGGCCAATGGTGAGCATGGGTTTGACTTTCAGAGTGATTTCGGTCTAAAGAGTCGAATCGTCCAGACAAACCCAGACTCATTACCGCTCGGTGAGTTGAAATAAGCCATATAACTACCAAAGAGGATGTCTCACTTAAAAAAAATGACTCGACCTTGACCATAATCCTTATTATCACCATTGGCCTGGCTGGAAAAAATCCCACAACTTGTTAGGTACTGCAAGTAATATACTTCATCGGAAATGCTGCTAATGCCAATACTACCAGCACAATTAACAAAATATCTGTTCTTGAGACAATTTCATCTTCATTGCTTGTTGCATTTCCAGTTTCTGACTGCGGTACTATAACTCTTTCTTCATCCTCGGATTGAGCCTTTCCCATGGTTTTGAAACTCTAATCAATCTCTTCTAAAACCCTCTGGCATCGTGGCCGTGTAATAGATTTATCTATTTCGGGCTTATGCGCCCTTAGTAGCACAACTTGATTTCAGGATGGTTAACTTTATTCAGTTTAAAAATGTATATTGATAGGTACTGCAAGATATCTCGGTCTTGCCTCTGCCTAGCGCAGCATTTCCGGTGAATTACAGGGTGTCCGCAAAGTTGGGGTTTTCCTTTTAAGAAACAACTACCTTTGAAATAACAAAGGTAATGTGTAGTGAAACGAGGGCGACCAAGTAAAAAAAAATAAAGGAAAAAGTACTCAGAAAATTAAATCAGCTGATGCGCTACCGAGCAGACGCAGGCAAACAAGGAAGGCAAAATGTTGCGTAAAAAGTCTAGGTATTGCATCCCGTCCAATCGATTTGGGAGAATATATGGTCCAATGAGCATACCGTTCACCATGCCAGCCCAAATATTCACA